TTTAGTGAAGACATCACTCTCATTTATATACCCTTCCCAAAATAGGATGGCGGCTATAACCTTTCTCATGCATGCCCATCACATACATGCCCATCACATACATGCATGCATACTCATTTCATGCGTACCTATTAATATTTTTGCATGTACATATTCATACACAAATAATTTCATGTACCATGCATTCAGATTTATGCATAAAATTCACATACTTGTATGATCAAATATATCAATTTATCATGCTATCACGTAAACATATAATAGATAATCACGTATTTAGTTACCTCAGGTGATAACCAAGACCAGGTTATCACATGAATGTATACCCCACATTGGCACATGTGTATCCCGAATGCTTATCGTTAGATAATCAGGTAAGATATAGATGGAAAAGGCTCGCTGTGGCAGACTTATTGTTTAATTTATTTTTAAAGCGTACTATGCTGTAGGGAAATTTTATTAAAAAAAGAAAAGGAATATACAATTTCGCTCCGCCTAGAATTTGGGATTACCCTAAGAAGGGCATATGGAAATAAATACTAGACATCTAAGGAGTAGGGATACAAGCTACAATCCAAAGCCAAGAAACCAAAAATGGCCACGGGGCCTACCCTGCACTGGAATTTACTATACAGATCTACTCTTAACCAAAAACAATGGTAGAACCAAGGCAACCGAAACTTGGACTTTGCTATTCATGGAAAAGGCTATGCACATGCTTCTTGTTGCCAAAATAGTATTTACTTCCTGTACTTTGTCGAGTGAAAGAAACTGGTTTCACTTGCCATACTCCACTTGTTACTCTGGCAGACTTAAATGAACCTTAGATGAAAAGAAACATTGTTGGTGGACCACAGAAAGTTATTGACCTTAATACAACTCTTTTTATTCCTGAGTAAATGAAAATACCTAGAATGGCATGCACAAGAAGCCTACTTGGAGTGGGAATCAGAAGAGGAAAATGTGTCATACAAAGTTATGATATTTGCATTTGATCGATATATTGGAGAAAGCAGATAGTTTAGAGAATCCACACAGGTAATACTGTTAAGTTAGTAGGGAGGGGGAGGGTTGCAATACACTATTTGCTAAGCTTTTGTATGTTATTTGAGAAGGTTCAAAAATATTGTTCATGGTCAGCAAGTATGTTTCAATAGTAGATTTTACTTTATTCGGGATGGTTGTTGCAGTTTTGTCCTCGTAAAGCTGGCTGAAATTCGCAAGGAGGTGCAATGCCCAATTTGTTTAGGTACTATTTTTCATATTTTTGTTTCATTACAATTTTCATCTAAATACCTTATTACAGGAGAGCATGATATTGGAGCTTCTTGTGATATTATATACCTAGAGCAAATGTTGACTACTGGAACACTAATTTGTGAAAATGATTTGTAAATTTTGGACATATAAATTTCTCTGCTACCCCAGGGAAATTAACTTCCATTTTTACAGTTCGATACAACACATTTGCTGCATCAAGAAATATAGTTGTTTCCATGTCTACACTGGGAAAATTATTACTCTTCTGGTACGAGACCAATTCTCAAGTACTTGTTCCCAAAATATCTATATGAATATATCCTGTTCTTAATTGTGCATAGAGTATAAATGATATACTTGAGGGTTGTTGGGAGTTAAACCTCAATGGTATCTACTGATGATGAATAGAAAATGACATCCTCTTCCCTCACATCTCTCTCTCTCCGCCACTATGGTATACTAAATTTGTAATCATGTCAATTTGTAATATTAGATCTGTAACCAAAACTATATATCTAGGTATTATGTTGTGATCTAGTCATGTAATGGTATCTTGGCCACAACTTCTGAAAACATTTTGGCTATGAATTCAAACTACAGGTGAATAGCATTCTGTCTTTGAAACTGAAAAACTTTTTCAGGATGTCAGTCCTTGTATCATGAAAAATATAGACATTGTAGAGTCTAAGTTCGATAAGTCACTTAACTCTTAAAAAGGAACCTCGCAAGTCATTTTTTATATGGACACAGTCAGCTTTACACATTTGTCTGCTATTATTTGATTTTCTTCGTTCTTACTTTGGAGGAGGGTACCTGTTACAGCTTGTTTGATCTTCTCTGAATCTCTATTAATGTTGTATGACTTTAGCATGCCCTTTTATGCTCTTTTTCGCATATATATGCCAAATGAAAGGCTCGTAGCGAGTAGATTGCTAAATACATGGTATACTCTATGCTTTGTACTCTCTAATTTTTTTTATAATGTTGAAGATCAAAACAAAAGAAACACAATTGGAAATTATGGAGTGGTCTAAAATGCATCATAAACGCATATTTTTGTTGTATCATTGAAAGATTATGGCACCTTCATAGAAGTTCCAGCTATATGAAAGATTTACCTTTAATGGTCAGTGTATGATATTTTCATGAGGAATTCTTTCTACAACTTTATGTCAAAACAGAATATAGGATTGTCTTTCCATCTGACACTTGTTCTAAAGTTAGAGTATATACGATTGATCACTAGCTTTCTTGAATAGGTATAATTCGGAAGACCAGAACGGTTATGGAATGCCTGCACCGCTTTTGTAGGGAATGCATAGACAAATCAATGAGACTGGGGTACGTATTGAAATTGTTAGATGCTTCTCCATCCATTAACTGTCTCAATGACTTGTATCCTTTAACTGACACGTGGCAGGAACAATGAATGCCCTGCTTGTCGTGCTCATTGTGCAAGTCGTCGTTCTCTGAGGGATGATCCCAACTATGATGCCCTGATCGCAGTTTTGTACCCTGACATTGATAAATATGAAGCAGAGGTCTGCTTTGGCCCATTGTATTGCATGACGATGTTCTATTATGCCTGTTATGTATTGTCAAACTTATCATTGCTTTTATGCCTCTGATGCAGGAGTTTGCCTTTCATGAAGAGGAGAAAGCTCGGAATAAGCAGGTGAGATAATTAGTTTTTTTCTTATTTGCATGCCTAGTTTGCATCTGCCTATCATTCATTTTATAGGAGGAATTCATCTTTCAGAAAAAGAACTTGATTCAGGAGGCAATAACTTGTGTTAGTTGTGAGAGGTCAACCAAGTATGATAAGTGGTGTTAGAAGATGCACACTAGGGGGGGGGGTTCTTTTTCATGGTGTACATCCCTAATTATCAGCTGGACTTATGGGCAATGCTGCTGGAAGACATATTTGCTGTGTGTTTGTGTGTTTTCTTTGTCTGTGGCTGCCAGTTGCAACAACATAATACCCTTTTTAACTCTTGTCATGACCTCATTGACGAGATACCATCATGTTATTCACTATGACTGTAGTCTCTCTTGTATGCCCTTAGCATGGAATGGGTGGAGAGTATTAGGCATGCCTTGGTAATACAAATGATATTTGTGATAGCCCATGCTGCGGTGTTACTTGGCACCAATACTTGACTGGCTGGTGCAGGACAGATGGGGGGTTCTCCATCCTTTTCGACTAGTTTCCTGGCTGAATTTTGAGTGTATCAGTTCTAGATTAAATGTCCACCATTGAGGATCTTATATAGCATATACCAATCAGTTCCATGGCAGGTATCCTAATTTGAATAGATACAAATTAAGGAGAATATTTGACCTTTATATTCAACATAGTTGCTTTATCTTTACTTTTAGGGGTGTAAAAAAACCGAAACTGAGTCGAGTAACCCACAAAATTTGGGTTACTTGGTTTCTGGGTTAAATGATTTGGCTAACCAAATACGCTACCCTTATTTGGTTTGATTTCGTTTATTTTTTTTACTAATTTGGTTAAACCGAATAAACCAATATATACTAATTTTTTTTTTCATATTTAATATTTTAAACTCTCTTGAGATTCAAATAATATTCATTTTGTAACCCGTCGGTAACTGTTTTCGTATTACTTAACTTATCCAAGAACACCGTAACCATTTTGTAAACTGAATATTTCTGTAAAAAAGCACAACCGAACTTTGCTTAACAAACTTTATTAAAATAAAACCCTTACTCAGTTTATCCGATAACCAATCTGAATAAACACAAACCAATAAGCCGAACCTTATTTGGTTTAGTTATCGGGTAGCTCAGAAAAAGTTGAAAACCAAATAAACCGAAAACTGATTAACCGACCAAATAACACCCCTACTTACTTTATGCAAATGCAAAAGAAAAACTTCTAATCTTTAATCTACTAACACAATGATATTTTACACACATAAGATCATTGTTCTCAAATGGGAGAGCATACTATTATAAATTTAGCATACTTTACGATCATAAAAATGAATATTAGCAATTTTATAGAATAGGTTGCATTAAACTAATATACTGAACATATTGACGGGATTTTTGCATTTATATCTCGTCATAGAACCTTTTTAGTTAAAATAATGAAGTGCACAGTCTACTGAATTTGTGCATTATATCTTGACAAGGAACCTTGCTCAATTTATTAACTGATTTTGGATATGGCCTCATATGATGCCTTTTGGAGATGCTTTCTGCAATAATCTATGTCAATCCTGTTACTTTTCAAGTAAGTTTCATGTATCATTTTGATTTTACTCACATCTCCTAGTTTATATGGAGTTACCTGCACAGATCCAAGCTTCAATTGCCCAGACTTCTCGCCGCCAATTAGAAGCACTGGGAAAGAAGCGTACAACTGCTAAAGCCACTGCTGCTGTGTTTATGAGGAGATCACAGGGAAACACACGGAATCTCAGGGGAAGGAGAAATCATAAATCTTCTGAACCACAAGGATCTGACAATGAGGATGATGCTGATAACAATGATGGAGGAAAATTTTCCTCTGATGCTGATGAACCATCTTCAGAATTAAGACCAAAGAGACACAAGAGATGGAGAGGAGCGCGATCTTCTCAACCTTCACTACCTTCAAGTAGTGCTGATGGAGGCTGTGATGAGAACGAGGTAGAAGGTACCAGAGATATGACAGGCATATCTGCTGGGCTTGTTGGCAGTTCAGAAATTCTAGCCTGGGGTCGAGGTGGCATGAGAAGTCACACACGCCATGGTAGCCTAAGCAATAGTGCTGGCAAGAGTGCAAGGAACAGTCGCCTCTCTAAGCTGATTGATCATCTTCGAAAATTACCACAAAACAATGACAAGGTAAGTGTGAATTGTTTTGTGAAAAATTGATCTGTTAGATTTTTATGTCTCATGTAGTAACTGTTCTTATTCTTATTGTTGTTACTGCCTTTCCCTTTCATCAGTATTGATGCAACCAACCATATTATGGAGTGCTAAGATGTTATTTTTCCCAGTAATGAACAGCACTGCAAAGTGCTAAATATCATTTGGTAGAATTCAGATGCAATCCGTGCCTTGACAACTTTATTCTATAATGATGAATAAAATCTCTATTTTTCGTAAAACCCTCATAATGTTGTCTTGGTTTTATTTTTCGTTCACCTTGTCGATTTAGGTTTGGGGAGAGAAGTCTTTGTACTCGGCCTTTCCCCATGCATTTCTTGCAGATAGGCTTTTACTGTGAGTCAATCTTGTGTGACCTCACGGTCAACAAAAGAGTAATTCCTTTTAAACATAAGTTATTACTTAAGCAAGATTCGGAGGATCGAAATATACAAAATGGAACAGCGGTTCCAGACCATTGAAGTCTGAACATAATAGAAGGCTTGATGTCATTGTTGTGGATTATTACTTTTCTGAACGTTGAAACAAGTTTGACTCCACTACTGGCATCCTCTTTTATGATGCTTGATAGAATAAATACAGAGCAGTGGCAGAGCCAGGGAAGAGCTAGCAGACGTTGTCGTCCCCCTTCCAATCTTCGTAGTTAATTAACGTGTTCAAAATTTTTAGTAGAAAATTATAAGTTAAACAAATTTTTGCCCCCTGAAATAAAATTTATGATAAATTTGTACTAATCTTTCATGGATTTTCTGGCTCCGCTACTTATCCTAACCAATTTGACGAGCCTCATCCCATTTTCTCTAGCATGACAATTGTTTATGAGCATCTCTGATACATTATAACAGTTTATGTGATGGGTTCTCTGCCAAAGTGCACTTTTTCATGCCTAAATCCTAATTTTCCAGCTGGATATCCATCTCAAGCTCATCTCCTTGGATGAACAAAATATACCCAATCTGCAACACCTATACCTTTGCTGCAGCCCAACTATGTCAATTATACATGTAAGCCAGGTAAAAGATGCTTCCTAGTTTTTGGTAAAATTTACCATGCACCAGGTTTTTTTCCTTCTCTTTAAGTAGCATTTCTCTAACTGGTAACTGAAGTTGGTCTTGTACTGTGTGCTTCTATGCAGTATGTTGCTCTTGAGAAAGGTTTGCAAGATGATGAGATCGAACTGCTGCTGGTGAAGGGGGATCATTTTGAAATCAATCATTCAGCATCCTTAAAAGTTCCTACTGGAGAACAGCCTGAGCCTGCTGTTATAAATCCTTTGACAGATGAGTTGCAATTGTTGGAAGAGCATCAAACCTTGTTGGATGTTGCAAAAGGGTCAGCTCAGAAAGATCTGGTAAGCTCTTCTCTCACATAACAAATTCTGAATACACGAATGTGCATACATATTAGAAGTTATAAATACCCGAAATTTAGGCTTCATTATTTTTAAGTTAACGATTTTCTTGAGTTATCAACTTATCTGTTTTGATTCTGTGAGGGTTGATGGAAATGAGACTCGAAAATACTCCCAATGTTTCATGAAAATTGCAATAATTTGTTGCTATGAGCATATTAATACACGATTGATTATTAGTCTAATGTCTATAAAGTTGTACCCTTTCATCATGATTTTGAAGCGTATAGAATATTTGTATGTTATATGTCTTGGCACATTGTGTAATAGACACATATTCTGATATACATATTCTATATAACCTCTAATTCTTCTCAATAATAGTTCATTGTTTTCGGCTCTTTAGTCTTGATGGTATAAAATGTCAACCAAGGAAACCCTGTCCTTGGTTTAAGTGTGTGCACTTATTGGCATAATAATTATCTTTGATTCGTATTTACTTGCTATTCATGGCTTCTGCATTTGTATTTGAGGTTGCTGGTAATTATGGTCCCCTGATTTTTGTTTAAATGTGTGAAAGCATTTATCATGTTGAATAATAGCAATTGGATCTGTGTTAGAAAGTACTTCTCATTGGCAGGTTGGTCATTGTAAAACCAAACCAAACAAACCCACACAGAGGTAGGGCCTGGGGAGGGTAGGATGTATGCAAGCATTACTACTACCCTATGGGGGTAGAGAGGCTGCTTCTGTGAGACCCCAGGGCTTAAAAAGCCAAAAAATAGGAAAAAAAGTGCTAGCAAAAACATATGCAAAGCAATGAAACAAGTTACTAAAGCAGGAGGAACTGTAAAAACAAGTAGAAGTATAGTAAAAATATGAAATATGAAGGCCGACAAACAGTAAATTAGAAGCATAAATAAGATATGGAAGAATAGGAAAAACTAATACCACCCTCTTTCTGACGTAGGACTTTGGTACTCTAAGGCTACCCTCTATCTTCTATAAATTCCCCTCCTCTCCGTGAGCTAAATGATTTTCATAGTGATACTGTGATAAATATATATAGAGGTTCAAATAAGAAAGCTAAATATCGTGAGAAGGTAAGAGAGGAAGGTTATGGAAAGGTTCATATGTGAATCATTGAAAAAAATCCATTTAAAGATGCATATGTGAACCCATATGAATAACCTGTAACATTGGTTCATAAATGCATCTTCAATAGGTTTTCTCAATGATTCGCATATAAATCTTCCTTTTTTAACTTTTCATGATATTTAACCTTCTTATTTGAACCGGCCACTATGCATATAGAACCACATATAATTTGAGAACCAGGGAACTGATTTTATAGTGTTTATATATTGATATTTGTACACTGTATATATTTAATCAAAAGATGTGTATTGTCAATGAGGATATTCATCAATGAATAAATACTACATATTCATTTGTATTTGTATTCTGTCAATGAGTATATTCAACAATGAATATACAGTAAAGAATTAGTTCCCTGGTTCTCAAAATATTTGCAGTTCTCATTTGAATGTGGCTCTCTCTCTCTCTCTCTCTCTCTCTCTCTCTCTCCATATATATGCATGACTCCTATATATATATATATATAGATATGCAATCTATTTACAATCCACCAGATGTCTCATGAATAAACCTATAAAGTCCTTAAGGTTTTTCTATTACAGTTATGTCATACAATATATGTCTATTTAACACGAATGGAAATAGGGAACTTGTCGATCTATGGATTCCATTGGGCTCACACTATGAAACTTTAATCTCTTGATTGCCTTTGTGGGAGTCCGACATCGGCTAGACTCGCACCATTTCTCCAGCACATATGTTGGAACCTTCTCTTTCTCCTCAAGGGCACTTTTGGAGAGTGATATGGGGGCTCCACATATTCTCACTGCCTTAAACCAAAGTTGATGGCTAAAGGTTGTTCTCGGTATATTAATCATTGACCATTTCATCAGCGTCATATAAACAACATCTTCATTATTGATTTTATATTTTTCTCAAACTCCCCATGGCTGCTATGAATCATTGACCCAAATCAACTTATTGCATTATTATCCCATTCATACAAATTTATTGCATTCTTTTTTACATATTCGAAAGAATTTGTGTCATTAATCTTACACTTACTTTTGAGTTTGTTGCGAATGTGTGTTTCAGACTCTTGCTTACAGGAAGAAGTCGTGTAGCTCGTGAAATCAAGAACGAGTGAGAAAAAGGAAATTGGTATGTATCGCCCCATGAATGTTTAATTAATCCTCTTAGTAGTTGAGAAACACTGGATAAACACATCAACAATTTGTCGATATTTTACTCAACTTATAGTTAGAAAAAAAGGTACCGATACTTTATTGTACATTAAGGTAGCATTAGTCACACAATTTTCAACCCATCTACCATTTTCCTCACATTTTGTATCGGAAGCCGATGTTGCTAACCACATCGGTCCTAACTTGTTAATGTCCGGGTTCTAACCCGTGTTCGTTCAGTCTTTTAATTTCTATTAAGTCATGTAATAATCACTTTTGATAGATCTGTCTAGGGTTAGCAGTTGTTAGTTTGGGTGAGGGTTTTATTCTAGAATTTTATATATTTGTTAACATATATTTGTTTCACAATGTGTTTGTTTCATATGTATTTGGTTCACAATGTGAAACTTTTTAGTTGCATTTTGTTTCACAGACATAAAAATGTTCATATTGTGAAACAAACACATCATGAAAGATATACATGTTAATCAATACACTACATCCAAATCGTAGATGAATAACAGATGATGTACCAGTTTTCAAGGTTATCACAATTTTATAGGTTTTATATCTATCTATTTATATATAATTTGAATTTAACAAACTAGTTTTTGAGTACAGTTGGATTTGTTTTGGTCAAGTTAAAAGTTTAACTTAGTACAACAAAGTTTGTTTGTTGTTATGATATCGTGATGATTGGATTTTTTGCTGTAAATTTATGTGAAACGCTCACTAGACGTGTTTTGGGTGAACCTCAAGCATCTTTGCCCAACATATATAACCTTCGTCAAGAAAATGATAATCATGGGTGTTTGGATCATCTTATTCGTGCTTCAATTAATCCCACAAGATCTTGCTTCAAGGGAACTCGAACTTGTCACCATTGGAGAGCAAATCTTAGCTCATACTAGTAGGGGTGTGCAGAAAGTCATACGATTCAATTTAAAACGACCAATCCAATTAACTGATCGATCATAATCGAATATCTGATTGTAATTTGAACGGATCAGATCCAACATTGCAACATCCATTTTGGATCGGTCGGTTCTTGGATGACAGTCTAGTATCCAATAAAATCGAATCTGATGACCATCCAACTCCCCATCCAACTAATATCTAATTAATAGCTATATATAATTATTAACATTTTACGATATTGTTTATGGGTTAATATTCATATACATTGTTTTTTAATAACTTAAGGAAATAAACGGATAATTGGTTGAAATGATGGATTAATTGGTTGAGTATTGGATCAAAAGATTGGACAAATCCAAACTAATCCAGTAAATAACCGACAGTAACATTCAATGGTGGATGAAATCGATCTGATCCAATCATCCATTGAATTTGGATCGGATTAGATGTCCAATGCTAATCGGATCGGATCGGATGACAAAATTCAACATCCACTGGATGATTGGATATGATAGGATCCACCTAAATTCATTGGATTTCAACCGATGAACACCCCTACTTACTAGTTGAACTACCCTCAAGCGTATAATTGATTGCATCTTAATAGAAATCAAACATAAAAACTTGATATTTTACAACACACCAACACCATGTTTATTCGGTTACAACCTTTTTCTTAAGCTGATTTGGTTAACCTTGAGAGGCAGCTCGACCGTTAAAAAATCTTGGGTTTGTTCCCAAAGATCATCAGTTTAAATCCTTACGACTGTTGAAGAGTTTATCTAACTCTTAACTTCAGGATCATATATAAAAGTTGACTTAAACACGTATTAAAAAATATATATAATTAATAGACATGCACACAGGTTAACCTATAAAGTTTGTTTGCTTTTTCCCTCATGATATCACTTTCACAAGTCAAGCTTGGTCAATCTTTTTCGAATGAAACCCAAAAAAACCCCCACTTTCTTTTTCGTCAACTCATTTGGAGCATTTAATAAAGAAAATATAATTTAAAAATTTGAGTTATGTTATTCTTCAATATATTCTTTAAAGTTTTTCGAAAATGAAGAAAGCAAAAAAAATGATATATATTTTTTCGTCTTAAAATAAGCGTCCACGATGAAAAAACTCATAGTTTTATGATCGTGTAACTATTACACCTTTTTTAAATACTGACATTTATTTTAAAACAGATAAAAATAGAAACCGAACACTTATTTTAAAAGAGGAGTAAAAATTTCCAAATTAGAAGCATTCTTCAAAATTTAATGTTTTAATAGGGAGATGTTTTTATTGTTTTCACCAATAAGGTTGAATGTATCATTATTTTATAAATTTTTTAGGGGCATTAAATTACTGAATATTTTAATAATCTAATTAATTAAGATTTTTAAAACAGAGTATCTATTGTAGTTAGATGTAACTTTGGTTTTTAGAGATTTTAACTATTACTACATTTTGTAAAAGTTATGAAAAATATGTTGTTGCAAACGTTCTTACTCGATAAACTAGTGATTTTGAACTTGACCGATCTCAAGAATTCGACTTTTGATCAACGTTATAACTTTAAGGATAGAAATCGAATAGAGTCATTTAAACATTTAATCATACAAGAATATTTGTGGATTAACATCAAATCTACAACATTTTATAGGAAAGCGGATCCCAAGGGTTCTAAAAGCAAAATACAAACGGGCAAACATGAATAGTGATGATTACCATTTGTTGATCGAAACCCTTTTATTGATTTAATGATGAATTTTACTTAGTGATAAGTATTTAAGTTCTATCTAAAGTAAATATCAACGACTGAGTCTGTTTTATGCTCGCTGAGTATTTTGTAATTAATTGTTTAGAACTTAGGTCCTCTTCAAAGACAACTCCCAAATCAAAGAAACTTCGGCGGTATTGGGGAAGTAGCTGAAGATAAAGATAAATTAGTCATGACCTCAAGTGACATTCAGTGACATCAAGCTATCTGATGAAATGTGAACTTGACTCAAGTTGTAGAAGTCCTCAATGATTACTTCCTTGCTGAATCAATATCTTGCATATCAAATTGTCTCTTATTCTCTCTTGCACATGTCAAAACCCCATGCTTCTCTCTGACATAAGGTACAATACTATCTGCTTTACTGTCTCCTTCATGCTTACTGATCCTCCTGAAGCACCGTTCATACACAACCAAAGTTTGCGTTGCCTTAGGACAAAAGTACATGTATTCCACTCTCCTCATGACATGTGAATTATACCTACAAAGGTGCATTAAATTCATAAAGTATAAATAGCGGAGAAGACTCTCCTTCTCACATCGGTTCTCTTAACTTTGCTATCTTTTTTGTCTCTTGCTCTTTAGAGATTCTTGGTGCTCTAAGATCAAAGTAAGATTGTTTAGATTAGGATTACTCATTTTCTTATTCCACAATAATCTGTAAATTCAAATGTATTGATTCTTCTTTATAATCAATAAAAGAATTTTGAAAGTGAAATACTTGTGTTTGTATTCAACTCTCTTCTACAAACTGTTTGAGCCTTGTCGATTCTCTTGGGACTAACAAGTGGTATCAGAGAAGTATTTCTCATTTTTCTTATTCTAAGCTATCCTAAGATGGCTACAAACAACTATAATGATAATGGATCTCTTGCAAACCTCCAAGATTTAACAGAGACAACTTTGCTCTCTGGAAAAATTGAATGTCTCTCTTTCTCGAAGGTGTGAATCCTCAAATCACAAACTATATCAGAGATGATCCTTTTGTCCCTTCTGTGACCATTGATGCAGTTCCAGCTACTAGCAACATCCGGGAACACCTGAACACATAGTTGCCAATCAAGTGCACCAATGGTCAGATGAAGACATCAAGAAGGTTGCCATTGATACCAAAACCTCAAAACCTCAAAAATTAAGTGGGATACTCTATGTGTCTAGTATGGAGGTACTTCAGAGTTTCAGGAGACAAGAAAGATAAAATATGGTAAGACAATATGAATGGCTTATTTATGGCAAAAATGAAAATATGTCTGAGATATACCAATGTTTTAATTGCCTTCTTATTGATTTAAGAATTGTTGGTGGAGAAATTCCAACTCTGAGACTCAGAACAAAATTTTTGGAATGTCTTACTGAATCTTAGGACAATTATTCAATGTGTCTCAAGGTCTCAAAAGACGTCCAAAACATGTCACTTAGTGCTCTATTTGGCATCTTGCTGAATCATGGGCAATCTAGAATTCTGAAAAAGAATCTCATAAGAAAGCTCTCCTTTAACTTTACTTTCTTCAGAGACCAGTCCCTCAGAAAACAATCTCTCTATCACTGATAATGAACCATCTCTTCTTTTCTGTGCTGTTGAAGATATTACTGACTCTGACCTTTCAGAGTTTGTTGAATCCTGACCTTCTAAGTAACTATTTTAGAAGGTTTGCCAGAAAGAGAAACTTTCATGGAAACACAAGTTATGCTCTTACGGATAAGCCTAAATCAACGCCGGTTGACAAGGCTACCGCTAATATGTCTTAACTGCGAAAAGAAAGGACACTTTGCCAGTGAGTGTAGGTCCAAGAAAGTCGCAACCTATCTATGTTTTACGAACGAAAAGTATATGAAGCTAAAGAAAAAGTACCGAAAGGTCAAAAAAATACAAGAGTAAAGGTAAAGGTCTTGCGTTGAAGAACACAACTAGGTAGATTCTTCATCAACTTCCTCTTCTGATGAAGAAGATGTTGCTTATCTCTGTTTAATGGTTGAAATCAAAGAAATTAATCATGAACCATCTAAAGCTAAATTTTGACTTAACTGAGCAGCTTGAAAAATGCCATATCAAAACCAAAGAGTTGACAGATTGAAAATGATCTCCGTCATTAAGTCATAGTACATCAAATAGTCAGTGATGATATGAACAAGCTATTGTGGAACTTAAAGCTGAGAAAGGGACTGTCGAAGGATGCATGGTGTAAGGCCTCAACAAAAGTCAATGAAATTATTGAGTGTCAAATACCCATACAAGTTAAAAGTTGTTTGGGTTATAATTCTGAAAAGGACAATCCAAGCGATGGCAGGTCTAAGTTAAAAGTTTGAAATGTTTGTTTCTTCAAGCACTGAAACCTCTTCTACTCAGTGTTCCTCTTCCTTTAATCCTGAATCTTTCATCTCTTCTAAAACTGAGAAAACTCACAAGAACCAAAAGTGCTCAGGAAAAGGCAAAATAGCGGAAGCACAAGTAGGATCAATTGACAATTAATCAAATAACAGAATTGGGAAGATTTCACTAGGAATTCATTTCATCTGTGTATTGATCCAAATATCAGAATTACACTTAAGAATAATTACAGTCGAAGCTTCACATGATTGATCTACTCAAAGTGTTTAGAGAATACGAAATTACAGTGAATAGCTTTATCTCTCACTTGTATTGAAACAAGGAGTGAGTGTACTATTTATAGTCCCTAGTGGTTTAAGTCAAAGCACAATCAAATAGAAAGCTTTTAAAGTTGCTAAACTACTTTGGGTGTCAATAGTTGTAGCTCGGATCTTCAAAGCCTTGTAACAAAAGATGAGTGTTGAATCCTGACGAAGATGTTCAGAGATAGTCGTCTTCTCATGAAATGCTAGTTAGAGCTCTAAAGTATCTTTGGATGACTATTAAGAGACTCAAATCACTTATAACTGTTCAGGTTTATTTTACAATACTGTCACATTAAGTAATAGGCCTAATACGTGTGATATACATTTCAAATCATATACTAAACGTAAAGATAAACATGTTTTTTTAAGGATGTCTAGAGGATGTAACATCGCCTTTTATCTTTGTAAAACATATTAACAAAATGTTATTGAAATACATTTCTTCAAATGTGGAAAAGAAAAATATCAACACTATTACAAAAACAAATTCAAACTTTATTTAATGGTCACCATATGATATAGTAACAATCATACGTTAGATCTATCTAAACGCGTTAGACTACGCGATACATCATAGCTTATTCACAACTTATCGAAACATCAAAAATACCTAGACTAGAAAACGAAAAAACAAACAATTTATTTATTTAAAATAATTATAATAAAACAAGTTTCAGTTGAACCCTCACGAACACGTGGCGATCTTTCTAACAGAAAGGACGATATCTATATGCACCCACTCGTGACGTTTGCACTTAGCAACTTAACGATACTTGCTCCTTGAGGCGCCACTGTACATCCTGTATTAATAAAAGCAAAATAATTTTACTTCATTTATAATTAAATAATACAAATTAAATCAAGAAAACATATATTTTGTTTCAGTTTTTTACGTTGAGAAATCTACCTTTAGTAATTTTATTTTGGTGTTTACGATTATCAATCTAAAAGAAAGACATAATTAGTCGTGTTAAATGTTAAATGCTTCAAATGCATAATATGTTCTCGAAATTAGAGGTTTTGGAAGTACGTTTTTTTTTTCAAAATAAGAAATCGAAAATAAGTATGTTTCATTTCTAGACATTTTGCTCTTAAAAATAGATCAAACGCATTAATATATGTGGTTCAAAAGCTCGGTTAATACATGTTCTAAAAATATAACGTTTGATTTGACACGTAACTTGATTAAATGTTTAAAAAACCCTTACGAAAATTTACAGATTACAATCGAAGTTCTTAAAAGTGTCCCTATGTATTACCAGTCATAAATAGTAGGAGATCCAGGATTGTTGGGCTTGTCGAAGCGATTAGATCCAATATCCCTTGTAGCGGGATTGCTTCCAGGGTTGAAGACACTCCTCCAGACATTATCCTTACGCGCCGCTGTTGGTGACGTATTAGTTGGAGTCCCTGGGGTGGTTGGGCTCGATGGCACCGAAATAGAGCCAGAGTTACTACTACTCCCATCTAGTCCATCTTCACATCAAATCAAAATAGATTACCAAAACCATCTTATAATAATTACTTTAACAAATAAATTCTTAAGCATGTATGCAAAAAAGAAGCGGTGGGTTAACAATATGACGTACCTCGGCCACTAAAGGTAGCCAATTTGCGGAGCTTGCCAAGCCCGCGGTTAGGTTGTGGCCCAGCCACAACCTCATCCCACATTTGGTCAAATAAAACCATTTTTTTTTGTGTGTTTGTATGTTTGGATATAAGTGTGTGTGTATGTAAATGATGTATGTTTAGCTCAAGATATAAATACATGATGGAGGGTGCTAAAATGTCTCCTCTTCTCAAGCTTCATCACAATTACCTTCTAAATATAGCAAGCTCCAAACATGCTATATTCAATCGTGTTCGATCGTTTTTAAACGGTAAATTGGTTTACAAATGATGTTAACAACACTATTTTTTCTTTCTTTGATTTTGATACTAATATAAACCCCCTTTTCTTTTGTGGATGTAGATTGTTTAATTGAAAGAGGGATTATAGGAATGCCAAATATGGTTACGACAGGTGTGAAATTCGTCGATATAGATATATAGACATCGTCACAACATAATAATAACCATGATCAAATCAACTGTACTAAGTAATATAGACATCGTAACAACATAATCATTGATTTGTCTCGGATAGGATCTCTAACTCTTGACTCTCGTTTGGAGTAACAACATCATACTCATCCTCACGAACAAATTTAGGTTTATTGATATCACTTTATAAGGGAACTTGAGATTGTCTTTTAAGCTCATTAATCATCTCTCCAACATAAATTATGATGTTACTAACACATCATGTTAGACTTTGCATGTGATCATCGAGAAAAGTTTCAAAAGACTTAAAAGGTTTCAGTTAGTTCTAAAGATGGTGTGGGGGTACAGATGAATTATTAGAATCATCCCCTTGAAAACTCCATGAAAAGTCAACTTGCTCCTCTCTAGATTGGTCAAAAGTATTTGAAAACTGTCACTCCAATCTTGGTAGGGAGGTGTGGGTGGTATGAAAGTGCGACGATCTTGATTATTTGAAAAACATTAGGATGCTCCTTTGATGATTGAGTTAAAACATCAAAGTGTGATGACAATTGTATGAGAAATGATTTCCACCAAAATATTCTTAGAAAAAAAAAATCATACGGCCTAAACGATTGACCCATTGAATCCATGTTCACAAAAAGATAATCTAAAAGATTTATTACTTGTACATACATGGAAACGTATGACAAGCAATAAAAATGGTAGAAAAAATAGCTTCTCGTGATTCAATCTCTCAGCAACTTTAGATTTATGTCTATCCCCGACAACGGCATCAAAAACTTGATGTGCTAGATATTGTATCTCTATAACACTAAGTGGTAACATATGCAAGTATACATGTGTTAATACTATGAAAATGATCAAATAATAAAATGGTAAGAAAAAATATCGTATTTCACATGGATATCTTAAGTTGCAAGATCTCAAGATAAAAGGCTAACTTCAGATAGTGAATTTGAAGAAATATTTTTGATGAGGAGGTTTATAACTACTCATGTGAAGAAATAAAAAAGAAGCTTAAGGTTCTAGGATCCATTAAGATATTTAACCAAAGAAAGTTGGCAAAATGCTATAGCATGTCCAGAAAATAACTTTCTTGACATTTAGAATGGCACAAATCTATAGACATAATCTCCATATCTCTTTGTAAGGCTAGAGTCTGGATAATGACTCAAATTGTTCCTTATATATGCTAAATGAAATGAAAACGAGTCTCCTCAATTCTTAATTGTTTTGTCAAGTCTACCTAAATATCATTCAAATGGACGTGTGCTTATTGGCTTATCTTTAATCCAACACATATTAACCCTTTTGAACAAGTGATCAACTTATCCACGTATATTATTTTGAAATATATAGTTGGAAAGATTTGTTATTTAATTAACAACTTCCATTACCAACATTCAGTTTTTAATCTTAAATTTACCCCACGCCCGAGCTAGGTATTTAACCTCCCATGCTTGGAAAACAAAAATTAGTTGCATAAAGATAAAAAGCATTTAAGGTAATTGAAGTACAAGAATATAAATGAGGTGGATAAGATCACATCAGATTGATCATACTTTTGCCACAAAGCCATTAGAATCGTTGTAGCATACTTCCGGCATTCCTTTCCAAAACCTTGATTTAAAACCAAAAGTCACCAAACTAGATTGTTTCTACTTTCGAGCTCCTTAAACATGGAAGATATAAAAGAATGAACTATGACTTAATTATTCCATTGCTACGATTCATCTAGTCGAAGTAACTACGAACTTCGAGGTGTGAAGTGGGAGAGAAGGGATGTCATAATTGGGGTCGTGTGGGGCTAATAGTTTTCATTTCCCATCTCATGGAAAACCCTTTTCGCTGGCAAATCTAGCTCTCTGACGGGCTAGGACACGAGTAGAGGCTATAGTGTTCCGTTAGATAGGAACAAATTTGATAAATGGAAAGTTTTAACATACGCAGTAGGGATTCGCAAATCCGTTTTCGGGATGCCGCTAATAACCAGCGAATGGCAAGTTGTAAAAAGCAGGTCCGATTACACCTATTCCTGAGATTTTGAGTCTCGCGTGTCTACCATTTCACCACCAAGGCTGGAACAATTTTGTTCGTATGAACAAAGAGAAGCAGATTTATAGGTCTGAAAAATATCTAAAAATAAAAACTTTAGATATCTGTACCCGTTGCCTCACGGATAATTTCATTACCCTCAGTAGCAAGATCCATCTGTATAGATATCACCATCTACATCCAGAAAGCCGTATGCTTTGGAAGATCGAATCTCCCGTTGTTCCTCAGTAGCTCAGTGGTAGAGCCGACCTAATTAAAAAGACTCAAGTCATCCATTTGAAGATGTAAAACACAAAGAGAAAATTGGGAAAATCATATCATATTATCAATATCAATAATACTCATCAATGTCAAATGGCTATGAAAATTCCATTCCATAATAATAAGCTGCAAGAAAAAGTATGTTAAGAAACCTAGCCATCGAAGATGAAAACATCTAAGTTATGCTTATAAACTGGATTAAGATTTGTTTAGTATAAAATAAGCTTCTCGATCCTGGTATGTAATTTTTTCTACTTTTTTTTTCTAACAAATGGGTTTACTTGTGGATAAATTGACAATATCTTGTTTCTAAGGAACACAAAGGTCATGTTAAACCTAGTTTGAATCAAATAACAATGAATTAAACAATAAGAACAACAATGTAGATATCAAATCATCATGTCATTGATTGTTTTTCTCTCTAGAACGTGTTTCGCTCCCTAGAACATGTTTCTCTCCCTTACTTCTCTCTCTAGAATATTACAATATAAGCTCTTACTACAACCAAATTAACAAGAACTATTTATATGATTGACTAATTACAAAGTCAAACTACAATTAAACTCTAATTATAAAGTTGACTTTTCATTAATGTTGACAACTTTGACTTTTTGTACTCATGTTGACTTTCACTTTGACTCCTTCATTCTTCTAGTAATCTTTGTAATTGGTGATCTCGGATAAAATAATATTTGGCCTAACAATCTCCCCATTTGGATGCGAGATCACATTCTTCAAAAATGAATATGTTTGTCCTCACTTCAACAAATCTTTGTCTTTAACAATCTCCCCAATGAACATGATCAAACTTTGTATAAGATGAACCTGAAAAATAAAAAATTTCCCTTTTCTTAAAACAAACATAATCTTTAGATCAAAATCTTCAACTTGAAATTATCTTGAGATAGTATTCAGTAATCAACAATAAACAGTTTTTCAAAATAAATCTTTTCAGTCAATAGATAAGCTTTAGACATTTAGGCTTAACACTTTGACACTATGTGTACTAAGCTCAACACCCATATATCATGAAAGAATCCAGTTTTATGAACAAACTTCTTCAAACAACTTTAACGTATATGTCAACAATAAGTCTCAACAAGTCAACACCATTACTCCAAAACAGTAGTAACCTTCAAATAATCTACAATCTTTAAATCCAATGGCTTTTCAACCTTTGATTCAAAAGATAGATACAATTCATCTCATCAACAAACTAATTCAATAATTTACTAGTCAAGCTTCACTTTTGAACATCAACACTAGTCACAAACATCTTTGAACATAATTTCTTCCCCGTAACATCAGCATAATCTTTTCATGTCTTTGCATCATGTCTTCCTCTTCTCTTCTTATCTTTGATAGCATATCTCCCCCTCATGATGATTAGGAGAATCCTAAACACCATGAATAATCAAAGACTTTAAAAAAAACCAGCTTTAGATATTCTCAAACATCATCATATAAACTTGATTCCTCCCTGATAAGTGTTAATTTATTAACCTTATTACATCATTTTCTTAACCATTTTCCKTTGTTTTATTTGCCCATTAGTGTCCTAATTGAGTCTTTTTATGCCCTTTTCATATATTAGTAGTAATATAGTATATCTAATGTTAATTCCCTGTTTATGCAGGTTTTTGACGATTTTTGGGCCCGGTCCTGCGGCARTCCTAMADGACCAGGAGTGGCAAGGTCCTATAGGACCTATCCGAGTGCTGGAAATMTTTTGGGYCGWGRAAWGATGGGCTAATYCAARGAGAAGGCTTGGTCAACACCCTTGGGCTTAGTCAAAGCCCAGCTTGGAGGGGACTTTTGTCTTATTAGTTGGCATCCACCATGAAGCTTCTCTTAGCCTATATAAAGAAGTTTAGGCCTTTGTAAAAACACTTACTCTCACTTTTCTTGGAATTATTTCTCTCCTTGGGATCATTTTGCTACCTACTCTTTTCACCAACAAAAACCATTTAGTTACTTAACCATCTTATTGTACTTTTTGTAACTTTGTGATAATCTTGTGTTGGCTACTCTCAAGAACATCATCTTTGGTTCTAAGTTTTCGTTTCTTGTTGTTTGATGTTTCAAGAACCGATTTTTGTAAGTTATGAT